AAAAGAAACTTTCCGGCAGCGCTTCACCCGTCGGCCAAAAATGGAAAAACAAGAATGAGACGGGGCTGCCTTCACATCGCCAGCTGGAAGCAGGCACGCACCCGGCCCAGCACTGCTGGCAGCCCCGCTGCAAAGGATTTGCCGTGGAGCTGTGGGGCTGCCCCTCGTCTCTCCCCCCTCCCCTTTTAAGTCAGTGCAATCTGAAGAAAGCCAAGACTGCGCAAAAGAGGAGAGCGCGAGAAGTAAGGAGCAGACAGGAATGCCGTTCCTGTTTTATTGGTCGCAAATACCAGGGCTGCACCTTTTATCTCCTCGCTCCGCAGCGATCTCGCACCCGACGCAACATCAGGAAAGGGTCACGGATCACACAAGACCCAAACTCGAGGTTCAAACCATACAGAAAATTGGCTCTGATGGCCCCAATGCCAGCCGTAGGGAGCCCCTGCAGCCCCACAGGGCAATGAAGCCACCAAAGCAGCTTTCCCTTCACTACCAATGCAACAGTGGAAAGCAAGAGACTGATCCAGCACTCCGGGGGACCAAGTTCCCAATGTCTCCTCCCATTGGGACGCACGGAAGGGCAGGAGGAAGGGATGCAATCCTTACCCCAACAGAACCAAGACTTGGGGTGTTGCTTCTTTCCCCACTTGGAGCACTCAAGTGAAAGCTTCTCCCCACTCCCAGCCCTAAAAGCCACTTGCATTGGCCACCTGAACCTCCAAGTGACCACGAGCCCAAAGCAGACAAGCACAGCCCGATGGCGTCACCACTGCAAGGCCAAAGCCCCCCAAAACCCCCAACAAATCCCACCTGCCTCCATTCCCCACCCAGCCCCATCCCAGCACCCAACCCCACACACCGGGCTGGGGGCCCGGCAGCCCCAGGTGCAGCCTAAAAAACCCAACCAAACAAATGTTTTGTGCTTAAGAGTGGTCTGTTTGAACAGGATTAGTTTTTAACTCCACGTTAAACAACATTTCAAAGGGGGGGGGGAGCAGCATTCGGGTTTTTATGTGAACTGTCTGCATGCGAACTGCTCTCTGTTTATCCCAGAGGACACCTTCTATTTCCAAATGCTCCTAAAATCTCCGGTTGCTTCACCTTTTCCTTCACTTTTTCTAAGCCAAACGCAGTCTGAAACAAAAATAAGGCCAATTCCCAGAGTCGGTTCCCATTTAACAAGAGGGCATTTTTCCGAGGCAAGGTCTGAAAATCACGGTGCATGCGGGGATCCTTCTGCAGGGGTTTTTAAACCCTTATTTGCAATATGAATTCATCTGCTCCGTGCTGCCTTGATGTTCCAGCAGCCTTCGGAGAGACGCAGCCGCTGCTCCTCCCTGCAGGCACAGCTTTGCTTGGAGGAGGAGGAGGAAGGGGGGGGAAAATAAAAGCCCAGCAAAGAAGGAAACGTCAGAAAGCAGCTCTTCGTGCGCGTGTCAAACGTTCAAAGTTATTCCGGAGTCTCCGTGTAATAAAATACAGCAACTCCTGACAAAATCAATTAGAATAAAACCACCCGGGCTGCCTCCCCTATTGCTTTGTGGCTGGGCTGAAACGAGAGCCAAGCTGGGCCTGGGTGGGAGCAATGAGGGAACTGCCAGCACTGACCCCACATAGAGCCCCGAGCATCCCTCGGTACCACAAATGGAGGATAGGGTGGGGAGATGTGCTGGGGATGGGATGTGCTGGAGATGTGCTGGGGATGGGATCCATGCAGCAGGATTAATGAGAGCCCCACCAGGTGACTGAGGTGCTGGGGAACAGCCCAGCAGTGCCCTGCAGTGATGCAAGGTGTCCCAGCTGCACAGAGGAGCCAGGTTAATACACGGCATCGCTAACCCCTCGCCAACAGCAGGAGAGGTGTATGATAAAGGCTCCCAGGATATGTACAATAGGAGGCCTGGGATATTCATCACACGGGGCCTCAGATTATTTACGGCAAGAGCAACGCAGAGATTCCAACTTCAAGAGCCTAAAGGGAATCCCTGCTCACACAGCCCGATGCGTTGGGACGCTTTGGGACAGCTCAGGACCTCAGGCAGCCCCAACGCCACTGCACAGACACCCTCCACCCAAACCCTGGTTGGTTTTTAACCATCCCACAGCCAAACCCAACACTCACGGCGCACGAGGATCCAGCCCTGCACCCAGGGATATCAACAGAAAGGTTTTTTTTAACCTGTTTCTCCATCAGCGTTCACTTTTGCCCACCAGATGTGGGTGGGATGAAGGCAGGGCGTATTTTCCAGTGAAACATTTGGATTGCCCCCTCAGTTGTTTTTTTTCCTTCAACGGGAGCAAAATGCCAACCATAATATTTGCAAGGAATAACTAAAATTCTGCGGCTTTCACTCCCGCTCTCCTTTATACAAATAAAATGCCCCAAACACGAGGAACACAGATGCTCTCTCCTGCCCAGCAGGACAACACAGAGTAAATTCAGGGACCCTGCAAGGGTTTATTTCACCATCACAGTTGAGATTCTGATAAAGACAACAGTTCCTTCCTGCCTTCTTTTGCATGTGTCAGTCAGGAGAGGTCGAGCCCTGCACTCGGACAGCTCTGAGTGTGTCTGTTCTTCATCTCCTGATCCCATAGGGACCTCAGCACCGTTCAGCATCCCCCAGAAAGGGGCATGGTGATGCTCACTGGGACGCTCACCCAGGCAGTGACACCGTGTGCATCGATCCTATTTTCCCATTTCCCTCCCTATGGGTTTTCCCAGCAGCTGCAAAGGAGCAGAATGGGGGACAGCACACAGGTGCGGGTTCCCACTGACCCAACCCAGCACCTTCCACCTCCTCGGGAGCAAAGAGAAGGAAGCAACGTAGGGATTGCAACAGCCACGGTGAGCCACGCTTTTACCCAGAGATTTGGGAAAAGGCTGCTGCCCAAAGCACCAAGCTCTGCTACTTTCACACCCATCACCGACCCAACCTGGCTGCAGCCATAGAAAAGCGGGCACCAGGGGCTGCGGAGATGCCTGGGGATGTGGAGCCCTGGCAGGAGCCTCTGCCTGGCGTCTGCCACCCGCTGCTGAGGTGAGCAGCAAAACGAGATCCTACTATTAAAAGTGCCCGGTGCTGGCCATGTTTCCACCCATGACATCAGCGGGGTTATCTGAGTCTAACCAAGGGCAGGGCTTGGCCACAAGCCCCCACGCCGTTATCCTTTTTAGGCCAAACTGAGTTGAGATTTTGATGGGGCCACGCAGTACCAGAGCCCGCCTTTGACCCCGGCTGCTCCAGAAAGGCACCAACCATCCGAGCTCGGCTATTTTTTGCCCAGCTCCCAGCCACTGCCCTGGCAGAGCACCCCAGTGCCATGCAAACAGGAGTGGGCCCCTCTCCATCCCCTAGCTCAGGGCTCAGCACGGGCTCCACATGCTCCTTGCTCTCTCGAGCTGCCCACAAGCTCTGGGGCTCTGCCCATCCCCAAGCTCAGAGTGAGACCCAACTCTCCCCTTTCAATCTCAGCCCTCAGAGCCAAAGCTGAGGTTTTCAGCAATGTGCGACCAAAGGCCAATGGATAAAGTTGGAGAGGCTTTCCTGTAGCAAACCCCAACAACGCCCTTCCATCAACTGCAAGCCACGTTTTCCCCCTAACTTTGCATTTCTTGCTTATAGTCTGTCACCCCATGCTCCACCACTGTGCCCCCCTCACCTCCCTCCCCACCACACACACACTGCATTTAGAACTGAGCAGACCAACCCGTTGTTTTTCACTCACACCAGCATGCAAACCCCCTGCCAGACAGCAGCAAGGTGACACATGCTGCTGCTCCCACCCCCCTCCTCCAACATGACTAACACCACAGCATGCTACCAGCATCCACAGCAAGCCAGGCTCCCCAAGAAAACGTATGCACATCACCAGGGCCTAATCCTGATCACCCCACTCAGGGTCCCTCACCCACAACAGCACTGAAGGAAATGCCAGAACTTTGGGCAGCCAGCCTCACTATTAAACCAACAGTATGGGCACAGATGGACACTATTTGAGGGATATGTGATTCTGCATCCATCTGCTGACCCTATAGCAGGACTGGGCGGTTTTTTTTGGGGGGGGGGGGCGGGGGCACCTGCAGAGAGATGGTTTCAGCCCCAGCACCAACTTGGAACTTGGGAGCAGGCAGAGCAGCAGCACTCCGCTATCAGCACAGAGCACTGCACAACCGTGATTCCGGGGGCATTTCGGTAAAAACGAAACCCAAACAATCCCCCTTTCCCACCCCCAGCCCCTCCGTTCCTGAAGCCTCAGCACTGATTTAAAACCTCAGCACTGATTTAAAGCCCCGCCGGCCGCGCTGCGCGGTGGCAGCGATGCGGGCTCGGCCCCAATTCCTCCTCCCAGGGCTCGGCGCCAGGCGACTTCGCTAAAAGTTTGTTCTTCCCCCTCCCCGAGCCCTGAGCTCTGCAATATCGCTTCTGCTGAACGCCAGACGCAGGGAGGCATTCGCCCTTAACAAGCCAAGACTTGACTCCAGCACCGAAACGATGGCAAACTCCAGCTGGAAAGAGGGTTGAAAATGGAACTAAAGAGAGGAGGAAAAGAGAGGGGGGGAATATAATAAAGAGAGAAACGGAGAGAGGAAAGCAACAGCCGAGACAGCGCGCTGCCAGCCTCCCACCCCCCCACCCCCCCCCTCCCGCAGCACCGAGACCGGGCAACCAGGGGCTTCCCCGTTTGAAAATACCGCTTGCGCCGCCTCGCAACACAGTAATAATAATAATAACAATAATATAAATCCAAACCGAGAGCGCAGAAAAGCACCAAGTCGGCAGCCGGATGGAGGGGAGGGGGTGGGGGGAACAGCCCCCGGCTTTCCCCGAGAAGGGGCGCAGCGCATCCCGGCGCCGGGGGGGGGGGGCCGCCGGGGGGAAGGCGGCAGCTCCGGAGGCTGTTTGCGCTCTTTCCTATTTTCTGTATTCCCTCCCCCCCTTCTTCTTCTCCTTCTCCTCCGCTGTAGGAACGAAGCAGCCGCTCGGAACCCAACTCACCCAGTGGCAGGAAGTGTTTGGTGTCCATCGCTGGTGCTTAACTCATGCCAAGGGGCTTCGGTGGAGAGCGGCGGCGGAGGCGAAAAACACACACACACACACACGGCGCGCACAGGGGAGGAGGAGAGCGAAATCAAAGCGAAAGGGGAGAGGGAGGGGGAAGGGAGGGAGGGGAGGAAAAAAAAAAAAAAAAAAAAAAAAAAA